AGAAAGTTCTGACGACAGGGCGAAATATTCGTGTGTAATAAAATACTTATGTTCCTCCAATACGTCAAACATGTCATTTGATTTTATCAATGTCTCTATTATTATTTATTTTACTAGGAACATACGTGCTCGCAATCACATTGATATATATATATATATATATATATATATATATATAAATAGATATATATATATAATTTTAATTAACCTATGATATTTATGCATTAATCTAATCTTCTTTTAATAATTTCATCTAGAAAATATGAGCCATTATTGAGGGACTTTCAGCTCTTTTTTCAGGCAATGACTTTTTTTGGTTCTTTTCTCTCAAAAAAAGTGCCATGGAAACTTTCAAGTAATTACTTATTTTAAGTCATTATTTTTAAAATAATATTTTCCACGTTTGTATTTTTAGAAACAACTTCCAACGGACCATCGAGTGATAGATCGACCAGCAAGGAAACCATTCATGGTAATGTACCTTGCTGACAAATTAAATTGGACCTATAAATTATTCGTATCATAGCTCCATTACAATTTGTAAATGTGTACCTTTCAATAACGAACCATGTATGTGGTAATGATAAAGAAGAGTTTTAAGTTTTGTCAAACTTTATTTTTACAACAGCGCTTTTAAATTAATAAAATGTACTTGAATTTTATACTACACACTAAGACTTATAATGATATTCTCTTTTAATGTGCAAATGCTCTTGTGAATTGTAGTCTAAAAGTTTTCCACCTTTATATTTCAGCAACATATTCCAACAGACCATCGGGTGATGGAACAACCAGCGTGGAAATTTCTCATGGTAATGTACCCTGATGCTAAACTAACATGAACCTATAATTTGTAGTATAGCTTCATAATATGTTTGTAAAAGTGTCTGGTTTAATAGTAACCTCGTCTGTGTAGAAAAAGATGCAAGAGGGTATAATAATTATCCACACAATGTTGGTAGATATGATAAAATATGCATGAATGAACGTATATATGTATGTATGTATGTATGTATGTATGGGTGTATGTATGTATGGTATGTATTTATGGTATGTATGTATGTATGGATGGATGGATAGATAGATAGATGAACGAATGATCAAATGAATGAATGAACGAGCGAACGAAGAATGAATAAATGAATGAGCGAACTAAGAATGAACGAATTAATGAATCTAATGAATAAATAAATAATTGTATTTTAAGCACTGACATTCATAATAATTATCCCCCTATTGGGGTGTGCAAGTTTTTCCTTTGAGAAGATCAAAATATCATACAGTAAATCATAGTCTAACAGTTTTCCACGTTTATATTTCAGTAACAAATTTCAACAGGTTATCGAGTTATAGAACGACAAGTATGGACACCTCTCATGGTAATGCATATTGGTAATGTATTTGTCAAATTAACATGGACCTATAATACGTATTATAGCTCCATGGTAGTTTTTAAAGGTAGTAAGTCAATCGCGAACCCTCTCGGTGATAATGATGAAGAATGGTTTAGGTTAGTTAATTTAAGTCTAATCTTTTTACAGCATCACAGGTTAATAAAATGTAATGGAATTTGTTGACGGGCAAAGTAGTTTTTGGAGATTTTTCAGATTGCATAAGATGAGAATAATTCCAAGAAGGACATCCTGAGTCATCTACGAATAATCATTTCACCACTGGCTTCTGACGTAGTTTTCATGAAGGCAGGCTTTTCCTGTACGATGGCATACTGGAGAACATGTTGCATTCAATCTTGATAACCACTTGACGAACGAAAAGGATATGTCATAATCATAGGATAATCATATTTTAAAGATGTAATGACCTTTTTAATTTCACGATAACTCACTATAAGAAAATAGTTACTGTTAAGAATCTAGTAAGGGCCTATAAAAATCATTTTAGAGCAAAACGTGCTTAATGGCTTGATTTTGAATTTAGGAGCCTGTGTCGGATCCAGGAATCCGAAATAGAGGGACCCAAGCGACAACTTTTACAGATGGAGGGTTTATTCCACCTCAGCTCCAAAATGGTTGGGGCTGAGGCAAGGAAAGGTTTGATTATGACACCTCTAGATTTAGAGGGGCCCGGGCTATTTAAATCTGCCACAGAGTGTTGTATTCTCTTTTGCATTTACTAGCAACAAGTTCTTCCCCTGTAGATTCCCACCCCTACTTTCAAACCAAATTAAGTATCTATTTCGTCGCCTGTCAATTCTTAAACATGCATTGCCTATCTAAAAAACAATCAAATAGGCTTAACCTGTTTGGAAAAAAAACTGATTTACAGACAATTGCAAAAAAAATTTAATTGATTACCAGCCAATTTAAGGATCTATGGAATAGAATACAAGAAAGGTATAATTTAAATCCCTCTAACTGTAAGTTGATAACTAAAATATACAAGTTACACAATTCAAATATGGAATTGAATTTTCCAGTTATTTTTTAGCTCATTACAGACAGTGCATCTTCAATACGTAATATGTTTATGTATATTCATTTGCTGAACTTTTTTTTACAGGTATTGAATCCAGTATAACGATTGCACATGAATGGACTACAACTACATATTTTATCCGTTCCTAAAGTTGATATTCATAACTTTTTTAACAGTGACGATAGCATCAATCTTTATTTCATGACAAAATCAGGCAGATATTAACTGTACATTAAAAAAATATTGGATTGTTTTTGGTTTCATTGTTCTGAATACACCAAGAATAACCCAAGAAAATTATAAAAACAACGGGTTCTTTTGATGGCGAATCGGACAGTCACCGGAAAAATTCCATGGTTTTTCGAAATTTGTACAGTGTTCTTTAACGTGCACATGGGTCATAAAATTGCACGGTTTAAACGTCTCATCCGATAGACAGTGCGCTAGTGAAACTTACATTTCGGCCCTCCGGTGAAGATAATGATTACAGAAGATAGATTTTAATCCGAGACAAAGTATACCTACAGATATCCAAGTTTCAACGCACACATAGTTGCTATTATGATCTATGCAATAATATATCAACAAAAAATAAGCATATCAACAGTAATATGTCACGTGATTAGATTGTAAAATGTGAAAGGCATTAATTTAATAAATTGTCTTATATCACGTCATGTTTTCAAAGGTTTGTATAATGTTTATAAATTAGTTTCATAAATTACTGTTATTATTAATTATTATTATTAATTATTATCTTGTACTATTATTATTACTATTATTATTAATAATAATATCATCATTAATTATTATTATTATTATTGTCGTCGTAGTAATTGTTAATATTGTTATTGTTATTATTATTATTATCATTATTATAATATATATTATATTTATTTATATATTTTTACTCATTTTTTATTGAATTTATCAATTAATTATCTACATTTATATATCTTTCCTACTCGTTTTCATTGTGTGTGTAATGATGTACGTACTGTAGTTTGTATAATGTTTATAAATTATTATTATTAATTATTATCTTGTAAAATTATTACTACTATTATTATTAATAATAATAATATTATTATTAATTATTATTATTATTATTATCGTCGTAGTAATTGTTAATATGGTTGTTATTGTTATGTCACGTGATTAGATTGAAAATGTGAAAGGCATTAATTTAATAAATTGTCTTATATCACGTCATGTTTTCAAAGGTTTGTATAATGTTTATAAATTAGTTTCATAAATTACTGTTATTAATAATTATTATTATTAATTATTATCTTGTACTATTATTATTACTATTATTAATAATAATAATAATATTATTATTAATTATTATTATTATTATTGTCGTCGTAGTAATTGTTAATATTGTTATTGTTATTATTATTATTATTATTATCATTATTTTAATATATATCATAATTTTTTATTTATTTTTTATTGAATTTATCAATTAATTATCTACAGTTATATATCTTTCCTACTCGTTTTCATTGTAAGTGTGTGTAATGATGTACGTACTGTAGTTTGTATAATGTTTATAGATTATTATTATTATTATTAATTATTATCTTGTACTATTATTATTACTATTATTATTAATAATAATAATATTATTATTAATTATTATTATTATTATTATTATTATTATTATTATTATTATTGTCGTCGTAGTAATTGTTAATATTGTTGTTATTATTATTATTATTATTATTATTATTGTTATCATTATTATAATATATATTATAATTATTTATTTATTTTTACTCATTTTTATTGAATTTATCAATTAATTATCTACAGTTATATATCTTTCCTACCCGTTTTCATTGTAAGTGTGTGTAATGATGTACGTACTGTAGGTTTGTATAATGTTTATACCGGTTATGACCCTAAAAGCTATGCTTGCTTCATGACATTTGTCATGTTATATTAGTATTACTATTTAAATTAAATCTTTATACATAGGTATTTCATCATTGTATGATTGAAAATATGTTTTATGCGAAACAATTAACATGAAATAAATGGTACATGAAAATGAAATAAATCCGGAGTGTCAATCAAACTTAGCAACTGACCAATCAGAACAGCGCTAGGGATATACGCGCGTCTCACAAAACACACGTGTTGTCCCACAAACGCACGTGTTCGCCTATGTTTTAACATTGTCGTCTTGTGGGACCTTAGCAACAATATCCAAGGGGCGGGCCTTAGCGGAAAGGTCCATTAAACAAGACTGATTATGGTACTTTAATCTGAACCTGTTTAAGTGTATTATATTTAAACAATTGTAACTGATGTTGAATGTTTGTTATAGACCTAATGATACATTTATTATTATTAAATAAACAGAAATTTCAATCTGTCTTGATTTTTAACACGAGACCTTTTCGAAGTTTAAGTGTAATTTTTGTAGGAATAACTTTTATATGAACTTGTTTAAGTGTATTATATATTATCAACAGTTATAACTGATTGAAATTGTTTGTTATAGGCCTAACGTTATCTTTTAATTATTATTAAATAAACTGAAATATTAATGTATCTTGATTTGATATTTAAGGAGACTTTTTTCAAAATTTAAGTGTTATTTTTGATTTAGTAATTATAATATTGTTAATGATTATAATGTTAATGATAATGATAAATATAATTATAATAATAATGTTAATAGTAATGATTATAATAACATTTAAACATTTTAATAATACACTTTTAATGATTTTAATAAGGTTAATATTAGGAATATTATTGGGAACTGTTTATTAATCATTTTCTTTGTGCCAGTGATTAGCTCTGTGAAATTTTAAATAAAAAGGATTACAAAAGCTTATTAATAAACTGGTGCTGTGATAAGTGGAAATTTCCAATCCAAGTCTAAAATTGTTATAAAATGGTATTATAAGTGTAACGAAATATAGATTGGTTCATGTTATAATTATCTGGGGTTATTATTACTTCAATTAATACTACCACCTGGAACACAGCAACATTATAACATTAATTAGTGTAAACGTTGCTGTACATATCATCCTGTGTAATGTTTTATATTAGTGAAAAAGTTCAGATTGGAAAGTGTTTATTAATCATTTTCTTTACGTCAGTGACCTAGCGCTAATAAGTGAGATCGTAAAAGGATTACAGAAGCTTATTAATAAACTGATGCATATTTTCATAAGTGGAAATTTACAATTAATACCAATAAGTCTAAAATTGTTATAAAATGGTATTATAAATGTAATGAAATACAGATTGGCTCATGTTATAATTATGTTATTATAAGGAAAATGTTAGTTTTGTGTTAAATTAGCGCCTCATGTACTCTCGCATCGTCACAATAGTATTGAGCCCAAGGTTTTTTCCAGAGGGAATTTTGTCCCCCGAATTGTTATGGGAGGTTTTGATCTCTGGTTTTTTTAAACCTGGGTTCCGACAGTTGATTGATGTGATTCAAATCAAATGTCACGTTATATTCTTTGTCATATATGCTTTGATCAACTGTTATCATGTTCATTTACGATATGTTTAACTCGCTCGCTCAATAGAATAATAAAATCCGAGATAAAAAATCTGTCATCTGTCTTTTTGTTTAATGTACAGGGTTTGCGGAATAGTGTTAAAATTAGACTTAGACAGATACACTAGAATTACTTGTACCATACTACTAAAATAATAACCTCGTGTATTATAAGTAAATGGTAATTGTCAATAATTATAATAGGAAAGACAATGACAATGGCAGTGACGACAATACTGATTGTGATATTGATACCAATAACAATAACGATAAATACGATTGATTATCATCTTCTTATACATTTTGTTTTACTTTGAACGTCCATGCAGATCAGCTCTGTTATTTCGGTAATAATATATTAATAATAACAAAATTAATGATTTGTCATAATAACAGTATTTGTAATAATTATAATAATACACACGGTAAAGTTTATGCTTATTTTCTTAAGCGAATGTGCTAAGAGCTCGATTCTGACTGAAACTAATTTGCTACACAATACGATTAAGATAAATTCATGATTAATTTTTCCTTTTAACATTTAATTTTATTTAACTAGTTTCTCCTTCTAGAGGTTTGATGAAAAAATATATTACAATAATAATTAATAATTTATTTTTAACAATAGTAACAATAAAATAAATTTTAGTAGTAATAGTAGTAGTAGTAATAATAATAATAATAATAATAATAATAATGATAATAATAATAATAATAATAATAACAATAACTATGTATGAATGTTTGCATGCGATGCCGGCCGCTCCCCCTCCTCTAAATTTCTTTTAAATCTATAAAATAATAAGAACAAAAAGCATATTAAAAATTAGGTCTGAGATTACCATTTCCGGCCATGTAGCGGTACAATAATCATAAATTTAGTGAGGCTGAGGTGGTCTAGACTCTCCATTTGTGAGAGTCTTTCCGGGTCCCGGCCTCTTTTTCAAATTACTGGATCCGCCACTGGAATTAATGATTTTATGTGGTCTACGGTATTTATGGTACAGTACCTGTCTATTTAAACACACAAGGATTGTTACACACACATTTTCATCTGCTAAAATGTTACCAGCAACGATGGAGTGACGAAGATGTTTCACAGCTGTGGGCATCAACCTACTGCTCTCTGTTTGAATAGTGGTCGTATCAGAACGATAGCATGCAGTAACAGGCTTGGTCAACTTGTACAAATTCAGAATTTTCTGTTGATTGCCCATAGAACCAACTTATGGCGTTATACAGCACGATTTTAAAACATTTTCATCGTAATAAAACGGCTATAATATTGAATTGGCGAAAAGACGCCAATTTCTAATAATTGTTTATTTTTGTATAATCAATTCATTACACCCCGTTTCTGTGTATGACTTATTTCGTTTTTAAAATTACACTCGTTAAATGCATTACAAATAAATTTGTTTTATTTCTTTCCAAAAATAAATATAAAACTCAACTTGCAGACCGTCACATCCGGGAGGTTTATTTAACTTCAACTTTCGTATTGCTTTATCACATTCTTCTATAGTCACGTAGCGTTCACATACACCATTTTCAGTTAAACTTTGACATCAGCTGACAATATTGAATCATTTGATATGGACATCATGGTGAAATTCGCTAGGCTTACTTTCACCAACACCAACAGAGAAGACTTCTGGGAGAATCCTCCAGATGATGATAATTTTGAGTTGGCAAATCGTTTCCGCATCTGTAACTATTAAAAGACCAGCCTAGACTGCAGTTACAGCAACAGTGTCACAGATCAAGAGAAATGATGGAAGGAACTGACGACTATATTTACAGGTACTTATGTTCCTGTAGAAGACACTGACAATTACCGTAATCCATGGCAATACAAGGGAGCCATGAAAGGTATGTAACTGATCGGTGTTGCCCCTTGCAAATTACAATTTAATAAATAAATAAATTATTACTCGTAGAATATTAAGTAATTCTATTTTTTTTTGTCGTCAGTATCATTATGTTAATTTCATCAAATTATATCTGACAAACTTAACCTAAATAAAACTACAAACAATTAGAGAATAATATTTGTTATAATTATCTAACAAATACATGTTAATGATTACTTCCTAACTCGGGAAAACGTCATTTTCTGACGTAGTCCAACAGCAATGGCGTATTGAATGGGGGATGGGGGAGTGCGACATGGGAGGGCTAGATGATAGAGTGGCGCTGCTGGCAAAATAAGGTGGCATAAGGTGATTTTTAACTACATTGTTTTTGGAAATTTATATTTTTGGAAGGGAACTAAGGATGCAGATTTGTTTTTGTTTTTGTTTTTTTTTGGCAGGGGGTGGGTGGAGGGAGAAGAGGCATGCTCCTCCTACGCACCGCCGTAGATAGCCACTTTCTAAAGGCAGCAGGCCAGACGGATTAGGCTAAAAAAGTGTTGCTACTAGTTGTAGCGTTTGTGATGGTGTGGGGTAACATTTTAAGTTACATATATTTTGTAGGACAGTGTAGGTAGTGTGTCGGACGGCGCCATGTATATTATTTCAATATTCTCTACTAACACGTTTTTGTGAAATAATAAACAAGCAAAATTTGCAACTGAATCATAAAGTATATCCTGCTTTGACATCAGTCGCGGATTCAGCCGGCCCGAGGCCCTTTAAATTTTTACTGTTCGTTAAAGACTGCCTAAACTACCTGCGGATTTGGTTTCTCTTAAATGTATTTAATGCTGTGAAAATAAAAATAAACAAAACTTGGACAACTTAAATTAGTCTCATCGATTTTGAGTGTCATCTATAATATTGTTTTAACTCAACACTGATCCCATGAAAACCACAAATATTTTGACAAGAGATACTTTCGTAAGTACTAAAATTTTAGTCTCATGCAAAATATGTAAGAAAATTAGGCCTATCTCTTAAACATACTTTTCAGTACAATTTACACATTATCATTAAGATAAATGAGACAGGGCGTAAATATAGGAAAAGATAATGATAGAAATTTAAACTTGCCTTCTTTCATTTTAGCACAGCTTAGTTTCAACTTTTACTAAAAACAATATTCTGTATAGGCCTACTACTATTACACTAAAAACACTTTAAAAATGAGTAACTTTGGGGAGTTCGTTGAACACGAAGAGTACTACCATGTACTAGAGGGCGACCTTCAAATAAAAGGCGTTCGTGGCAAATGCGTGCTGCAGCTCTGTAACGCGTGTTCGAGTTTCGAACGCAATTTTGTTCGAGTTCCGAACGCTATTCGATTGTCAATAGAGCGCCCCCTACCACGTGGTAGTAGTAGGCCTACCCATCATGCCTAAACCGGATTTAACCTTTTTCGCCATCTTTAATTGCTACATCGTGACATAGTGTCTACGCCCCCGTTGGTTTTGATTGTTAATATTTAACCTCACCATTAATTTAGGTATGACTGCCCTTGAAAATATTAATGTACACATTTTGTATTAAAAAGCAAATTCATGAGAAACTGCAACTTTACCAGAATGTAACAATAGTAAAGCCCTGTTAAACGACCAAATTATATTTGACAAAAGCATGTGACACATGCCTAAATATGGTCACATCATGACCATATATAGGCACATCATGACTATATATGGGCATACAGTAGGTTTTTTCCCAGAAAACTTGATAGTCTAGGCAAGGATTAACAAAATCTTGAACTAACCCTCTATCAAAATGGTTCTCGTTTTTGTTGTTAATATTCCAATTAAAAGAATTATATTCATAATGCGAGACAGTTTTGCTTGAATTTTGCAATTTGAAGGTTTTAAATATGTTCGTAAATCCATATAATTACAATACTATTGAATATAATCTACACTATTTTGAATATAAAAATATAATTTGCTCATACATCCTTTTAAAATGAATTACTGCACAAAATTACGTAATTAAATGAATGGCAAAAGAAAAATGACTCGTATTATTTTATTATTATATGTTTTATTTTCAAACTGATATAAATTTTGACGTGAAAATAAGTTGACCTATAAAGATGTTGTTTGTTTGGAGATTATAGGAGAGTGGAACATAACTATATGAACTAAGATAAAAGTTTAAAGGCATTTTTGTCAAATATTAATTATAAAATAGGTAATGAGAAATTTTGCAGCTCATAATTTTTTAAGATTAATTGGTCCACTATAAGGGCTGACCAAAAGAATCCAGAATATTGTATTTAGATTGTAGCTGTATGAGAACACTATCAAAATTAAACCACCTTTATGCATAATTATAAAAAAAAAAATTGTAATAATAATAATAAATCTTTATTGTTCTCAAATTTAATAAACACTGGAAATTTGGGCTGGGTCACTGGGGACTCTCGGTAGCCACATTGCAGCGCCACCCGACTTAAAAGTACAAACATACATTAAAACAACTTTAGACTAATTTGTAGGGCATCTGGCAAAAAATAAAGATATATTCCCTCACATTTTTTTTATTTGTAGAGAAAAATGATAGAAAAACCCTTTATTTTAAGTTTTTTTGTTTTTTCGCACCTATTTTTTTCAATGAGTTAGGGGCGGGTGGAGGAGGGCAAACAATTTATTTTTTTTGGCCTTACAAAGGACTGGAATTCAATACTTGGCTGCAGAGCCCTGACACGCAACAGGCAGGAGCCATGCCAATCTGCTGAACGCTCAGCTCTAACACAAAATAACCGACTTATCATCCCTATGCGTATCACCAAGCTAGGTGGCATTAAACTTGATTTTGTTGCCTTCCCTAGTACAGTACAGGATATAACAACATGTATCACTGGATTCATGTTTAAAGGACGGATTAAAAGCATATATTTGTAGTGGATTGATTACACAAATAATCCTTTATTATTTAACTTAATTGTGCAAAGAAGTATGTTGTAAAAGGCATTAACACTTTCATCTTCCTAATAATTATATAAATCTATTTAAAAATAAATATAGGCCTATCTATATAAACAATTCAATTTTAAATAATTAAAATTATTTATTTGTAATTTATATTTATCTTTCAAGCAAAATAATGTAGAGCTAATAAGAGAGGTATACTCCTTATATTTTTAACACATCACCAATTCAAAATTCAAATACTTAATGTAACAAAAGATAAAAATTATAAACAAATTATATAAACGTATTCCCTGAAAATGTCACATGTAATTTTAATAAAAATAAAAGGTATAGTTTTTAAAATTAAGCTTTTATAGCTAAATCTCGGATTTCTGGTATGATAATAGCACGCACATAAAAAATAACAATTAGGATATATCGTAAGAAATTCATTTAAATTATTCGAGGAAGACTGAATTATATACTGTAGTTTGTATTCTCTGACCTGGCTACAGATGACCCCAGATCTATGTGCATATAACCAGTGGCATATAACTACAACTGTAGTGGATACTAATTTTGTTTAATTAAACACAGACAATTTGTACAGGGTGGAATTTTATATGATTCAAAATGATTCTTATTGCACTTTTATTTTGTCAGCAGAAATATTTCTTGATCAAATACAATTAACTGCGCCCTTTTAAGCTGGGCGCTCACGGCATCGTACACGACAAATCCAATTCCACTCCCTGTGAGCGCTAGCCAAAGTGACGCGAGTGGATTTCCCGCACGATTAAAAATCGTAACGGTATTGGGTTATGAGTGAATTTCACGCACAATTAAATTCATAACAGTACTGGGTTTGGTCTACAGGAGTTCGTGCTTTGAACAGGTAATTCCATTCATGGAAAAGCCTTTAGTCATTCAAAACGATCAGTTGCGCGTTCATTGTTGCATTGCGTTTTTCATAGAATTGCGTTGGCATGACGACCGTCGGGCGCAGTAAGTCTCTGGCTTTACTTTTAGTTTTTGGTTTTATTCCATTTTTTTTTAAAGGAGATTTAAAGCATCAACATTTGTTTTTTTTTAAATATTTCTATTAAAAAAAAAACAAATAATATTGGCTAATTTGGATTCAAAATATTAATATTCTGAAATGCAAATTTATTGTGATTCAGTAAAGATAACTGGTTGATAATAAGTGGCATACATTGCAGTTAATTTTACATTTGTGTTGCATGTAGTGAAAAAACATGGACATTCAACATCGAAAGAAAAGTAGATTTTTATAGGCTTAATGTATTATAATTCTTAAAAGGAAAATTATCAATATTTTCTGTCGTTTAACAGTACTATATTTAAAAAAAATAACATGATCATTCAGCCCTCTTATTGGTCCGTCCAGATTTTTAACCAGCGATGATTTGTCACCTCACTGGCTTCTTGTGCAGATGAATTCTAATTGTCCACACCTGATTTTTTTTATTGCATTGATAACACTGTACAAAGATTTGTTCATTGTAATAATTGTAGATGTTCACTCTTTTCCGATCTTGCTGTAGCCATTGTCAGAGGCATCACTAGCTATCCTCTCCACCTTGAAGAAGCACAGAGTGCCCATAGTCCCAAAGATGACCAGTATCAAGAGCTGCCAATGCAGAACCAGATGGTTGCTGTAGAAGAACCCAGCTGCAGCAGCCAAAGACTAATGAGGAATTAAAAACAACATTTGCAGTCAGGAAGTATATGAAAAAAAATGTCACCCTCCAATTAACGACCAGTTTTGGGGCCCAGGCTTCCATGTTTTCTAGCAGCTTTGGTCTCTAATTAGAATAATAAAGATAAAAGAATTTGTTGATTTGGGACAACAGAAAAATGGTCTTTAATTGGAGGTGGTCTTTAATTGGAGGGGTTATTAATTAGGGGGAGAACTGTAATACCAAAAAAGCAATTGTTATAGTTTTAAATCACATGCTAGATGGCATGATTGAGCTTACATCAATGCATGAGAAGATTTGTTTCATAATCTAACCTATGTGTATGGTACAACTGCAATAATTGGTTTATGTCAATCACCTTCCATAGGCTTGGTAAAACAAATGCGAAGGCTATCCGGTCATTCTGACCCAGGCCTCAAAATACTCTTATGCCAATTGTATAAGTTTCTTTTATTATCTTGCTTTCCATTGAATATATGGACCTGAAATTCATCTCTTTAATAAGCGAATTTTGTCAGTTTTGTCAAGTTTGTTTCTTGTTTGCGCATGCGTAAGAATGAAAACATTCACATTACAAGAAGGTAGCACTTGGTGGCTGATCACCCTACGAGCTCATTAGACAGGTATGGCGGTTTCTGTCACAAAGGCAGAATAAAAAAGGTTTGGTTGTTCTTTTTCTCACACAATCGTAAACAAACCGTTACCAAAAGTAATTAAATGTTTCAGGATAGAAAATGAACATTGGAAATAATTTGATGACACCAAAATATAAAACTTTAAAACTGTATTATGTCAACATAAATTTTAAAATGTTCTCAAAAAGTTAGGTTGACATTTTGAAACAAAAAAAAAAAAAAAAAAAAAAACTCCAATAATTAATATTAGTCTAGTATAACAAATAAATTTGATATAATTATTTGCTTATGTGTGTTTGTGTTGTGTGTTGGTCTGTTTGTGATTGTTTTTTGGGGTCTCTGTGTGCTTTTATGTTCAGGCCTGCCCAATGCAAGATTTATTTTAATTGAATCTTCTCGGGCAAGTGCATTCTTCCTTTTGAGTTGTTTCATAAACCCATCGTTTTTAATGATCATCGTACAAAAAAATAAAAATGTTACAATGTTGTAACATTCTTCTTTGAAAAGGATTACTACAATGTGGTTTGTAATGGTATATTATTCATCCATACTGAATTTGATCCAGTTGATTTCTAAGTTATCAAGAAGATATTTCTCACCTGTGTGAACTTAAAAAGCGCAAAAGCCGGAGCACTGTCCTCTGGGAACATGTAGCCGACGATGGAGTAGATTTGTGTATTGAAACAGCTGTCACCAAAACCAAGCAAAAATGCGCAAAGTAATGCAACACCAATGCTGAAAATATAAATTAAAATTAAGGAGAAAAATTTTCAATTTAAAAAAAATTATTTTAGTTTAAATTTGCTTTTGAACACATGAAACGTATGCTCCTATTAGAAGATACTTTGAAGCTTTAGTTTTAGAAAATTCCCAGTCTATAATTTTGGTATGCAATGTTTAGAGGTATAGAGAAACAAGTACAGCAGTGGTAAAGAGTATAAAATAAGAATTTTCCCATTGAGATTCAAACTTAAGATCCACACCCCACCCCCGATTACATACAGCAGCAGTTTAGCGCAGCGGAAATGGTTTGGTCGTCCCAACCTTCAGGTTAGGGTTGCAATCATTCGCTGTGAATTGTTTTTGTGTCCTTGAGCACTTTTTCTACAATGCTTCAATCTACATAGTTGTATCAATGGTCAAGCTCCGTTTCAGCCAGGTTTTCTTAAAATCGCTACAATGTCGCTACAGTATTTTCAGTGCAATTGTGCTGCGTAGCAGTGCCTCCCCGATGCAATCGGGAAGGCTCCCTGATTCGACAAATCAGCATCTCAAAAAAAGCTGTCGGAAATAGCGTGCTGCAAAGCTTTCCAAGCAAATTGCAGTGGACCAGATTATCATACTCTCATCCTGTTCACGCTACTTGAAACAGGGGAAAAACTCCAGCCCATATATGAGCCCCATGGATAGGGAAGAATTTACAGAACAATATATACTGTATGTGGTATATTATATGATACAGTGGCTTTTGTATTTTTTTAATCTATTGCTTAATTACAGCATTACTTTCAATCAATGTATTAATTATATACTGTTTCGATACCTTGGTTGAATATATGAATTGCCCTCGGCTTTTTGAATTGGTGTTTCACTCGGTAAGTTTAGCAGGATAAGGTAAAACGAAATGATGTGTACTACGTAACCCAAAAGCACAATAGGATCACGGCCGTATTTGTTGGTCTTATCACCAAGAATTCCAAATGTAGCGCCCCCAATAATCTCTCCACAACCGATCAGAGTGCCCACTAGTCCAATATAGCCTTTAGCCTTCTCACCCCAGATGCCAACATTTCCAATACTTGTTCCATACACACCACTAAAGAATGTCAATTCAAGACCTATTATAGGAGAAAAACACCAAAATTCTATTGTTATATTTTTCTAAATGTTCATATTTAAAGCCATATTTATAG